GAAGCTATTCCACATTCAGCAAGCCACTTTTGTAGTACATGCTTTATTGCTTCGCACATGAAATCGTCATTTTAATGATGTTCACTCCCTGTCTGCTCAATAACTCTTCCCTGCGTTTCTGTTTCAGATAGGTTTCTCAATCTCATGTAACTTTATATCGTACACTGGAATACTGGCGATATCGCTTAAGTGGCAAAAGGTTTGTGGGACACAGAAACATAGAAATGTAGATAAAATATATTAACTTTAACTATCGGCAAACTTCAAACCTTCCTTCGCTTCGATTTCAGAAGAAAACATTTTACGGAATATCAAATTTCATCATGAAGTATTTCAAATACATATGGATAATTCAAGGAATTTATTAAATTTAATTAAGGTAATTTATCTATTCATTTTACGATTTCCTTGTACGGTTTCGACTAATTGGTTTAGTTAATTTTATGACTGGTTTCTCATGCTGAGTTAATTAGTTAAATGATGAATATTCTAAAAATTTGAAACTTGAAACATATTTCGTAACTCTCATGAGGAAGGTGCTTTAGTAAATAAATTTAAATTTGAGATGATGAAATAAATGCATTAGATCTTTATGTTTCTGTCTTGTAAAAAAAAAAAGCAAATTCTCATTTTTGCCATTTGATTTTCATTAGCATCCTATTGATAATTGATGAACTTCGTTTTAGCAGTAAGATGCTAATTCTCATTAATCTCATGGACACTTAATTTGATCACTATCTTACATCATGTCGAAAGCAATTTAAAGTTGAAACTTTGTTTTCCACACAAATATCTTTGTCCTGTAACAAATTTTATTTTGCTAGTTACCCTGAATACTGTTGTGTAACATAAACATTTGTCAATTTTAAATAAAGTTTGCGAAAGATGTCTTGAGAAATATTTAATAATATATGATTTTTGTACTAAAGCTATGTCTGTGTTCGCTACATGTACAGTATTTTAAGTTTATTGGCTTCAAGCTTAATTTATTTTCCTTTCTTTGAATCTTCCTTGTAATTTGTATGTAGCGTATTTTCGTGCTAATATTCAACAGCAAATTTTGTGGATCCTAAATTTAATCATTGAGTACTTAATTCGTTTCTACTTTAATATTCATCAAAGGGAATGTTACAACCTTTGACGTAAGTCTTGCTAAACTTAATAGGAAACTATTTTCTTTCGACACAGAAGAGCGCAGTAACTATTAGAATATTTAACTTTCAAAATTACTTTTAGACTTTATTCATTCTTTTAATTTTAAAATTGCGTTTAGAACATATCTAGTTGGTAATACATCTATCTCTTTATTAGTACATAAATATTACAAAAAAAAATTTAATGCACACTGGATCTCATTCTTCATAACTGGTTTATCGTATTTGTATGTATTGCAGACTCGTTTGTGTTCTTATATATGCATGCTAAATTATACTGCCATATTTAATACATTCCCTTGGAGTTTAAATAACGTAATATATTTTCTAAAGGTTATTTCTACGAAATGGTTACCCAGTTAAAGGGAAACACTTAAAAGTATTAATCTTTGCGTAAAATTAATTGCTTATTGTTTTATATATTATAATTATAATCACTTGTTAATTTACAATAATAAATGCTGCCAGATTTATTTTGACCTTCTGTTGACAAATTAAAATGATTGTTTTTAATTTACAGTAGCTCTAAATAAGTATATGGCAAAGGACTTGCTTAGGCAAAGATAAGCGTTACAATAGAACACACCGAAATATTATGCCAGTGCGCATCCTTTTATCGCAAAATTAAACCCAGGACTACTTACTAGCCGACCAAAAATATATTACCGAAGTTAGACTAACTGAAAACAAATAGCAGTAAAGGCGGTAGATATTATTTTGAGATTATTATTTATGTCGTATCAAATGAAACCTAAAGCATCACCTAACTATTTTGAGATTATTGAATGTCCTTTCAAATGAAACCTAAAGGCAAATGCTCAGTACAGGGGTACATAACATTATGCGGGAACTTCTTACACTTCGTTCTTCATTTTTAAGAGAGTGTTTATGAAAAGAAATTTCAGACAGTATCGTAGAATAAAACGATATTTTCTGTTCTCAGTATACTTATATTATTGCGACGAAATATCGGCGTATCACTGCCATACTAATGATGGGTTTCAATTTAATTTCAATTATCTGTTGGACTCTTAGAGTTATATTTGACGCTTAGATTTCATTTACGCAAAACATGCTCTATGAAAATTATAATGAAATATTGATACCATCATACGAGCTTATATTTTATTTGACCTATAGGGTCGCGTATTTGATGATTTTAGTTCATTTACGAAAAACTATCAACTTTCAAAAATATAAAGACATAATGATACCAACAGAGTTTTTAAAATACCAAGCGTTATAATGTTTATCTTTTTACTTCGTGACTTCGTCGTGTTTTTGAAAGAACCTCCAACTAGCAGTCTGGAGTTCAAGAATTCGAATTTCGTCAAGGCGATTATTGCTTTGTCATGTTTGCTGCTTCGACAAACCTAATGATTCTACATAATGGTGTAAAATGTGTTTGAAACTCTCTGCAGTAAAGTAGGTAAGAAATGGTTTTCGAGTAAATTTATGTTGATGATCTGTTAAATGACGGAGCGCTAGCATAATTCTAAAACTATTGAAATTTAGAGAGTGGATATGAAAGCTTAGAAGTGTCGTTGTTGAAATGAAATGGAGGAAGGTAAATATTTTGTGGTGACAAAAATGTGCCGAGAGGTCCTAATCCTAAAGATTCAGTAAAATTTCAATAGTAAAAGTTTGAATTCATCAAAAATGATGTAATTAAAAATGCTGACATATTTCAAAAGGTTAATTGCATTATTTTCGTGAAATAATTTTACGGCAAATATGAAAAGAGATTTAGATAATCCTTACTTCCTACGTGGTGAGCAATAACTTGCTCATTTTTATTGAATACCATTGTTATGCTACAGCGGAACACAATCAAAATTCGATTTCAGTAGGTCAGGTCTTAAATTGGATGTCGTAACACTAGAACAAGATATGATTCCGTACGTCAAATGCAAAATCAGTAATAACCATATGAGAAAGCGCATAACCCAAATAATGGATATTCTGGTATCAAGGGGTCTAAACCTTTGCAACACAGAGTGATCTTATCAAGCAGCAGCACTTTGGCACCAGGTACCGTGGGCCCCAAGAAGGCTTTGCCACTCTAGATAGCTAGTGTAAGGGACCTATACCTAGACTCAGGGTAAATAATAAATGGCCCCTGCACTTATATCTAACCTAACCTAACTGTATGTTGCAGTTGTAGAGTAGCATGATGACTTAAGGAAACTTTACAATTGCTTTTGATAAATTTCTATAAAATGGTATGGTAGAAACACAAACTCTTCAGTATAGAAAACCGTTTTTCGAAGAGCTTGGTTAGTTGTACATTTCAAGATTTCAATCTCTTTTATATCGCATTTTCTTTATTTATTATTTTTTATTTGCACCATATTAATTTGCCTTTAACAAAATATTTATAACTTTTTTATCGTTCCATCACGAATAAATAAACAATTGTGTTAAACATAGTCAATACATATAACACGGGAATTTAAAATATTAGTTCAGCTTAAACGCATATCCAAAGCAGTCATTGAATGACCGTTGATATTAACCAGTAGCCACATGGGTGAGAGAATATATACCATACATAAATATGGGTGAGACACTGGTAATTCGACACAGATTTAAATCGCGGATAACGGCATGGTTGCATAGAGTTTCCCCATTATTAAACATTAATATCAACCAGTTTGAGTTAAAAAATCATCCACGAAGGTATTCCATCTTAAACAGTAACCTTAAGTACTTTGCCTCAATAGTATAATTAACTAATTAACCAAAGTTATCAAATATTCTCTAAAGTATCTGTTAATTAAGCACAATAATTTTTGGCTGTGCCAAAAGAGACGTTTAAATTAAGTATACTATGATAGTGCCCATGAATCTATTATTCTTAATTTACTGGATTATTCAATAATTTATGCTTTGTTGGCAGGCAAGTAAAGGCATTCATTTAAAAAGAAGAATAGCTGGCTGACTATTGTTATGCCCTAGGGACATTTCCCTGTAAGTTAAATAATGTTTTAACCCTTCGGATTTAAAGCGGAGTAATACCACTCACTAAAGCATAAATTAACAAAAAAAAAAAAAATCTCAAACCTTTCAGATTTTACATTACGCCCAAAGAAGCGTTTTTTAACGTTTTGTGGGTTACCTTTTTTTTTTTTTTTTTCTTAAATATCGTGTTCTTCGCACTTAAACCATAAAATTCAGTTCAACAGCAATATCGCAAAATAATTTTAAAATGAGCATATCTTTAGAATTTCCGATACACAATCTCACGCTGAGATAAAAATGTTTTCTTTTTCATACAGTGTTGCCACTGCTGGCTTTGAAATCATTGAGATTGTTAATCAAAAATTCGTTAAAGTTTTAAAAAATATGAAATAGATAATAAAACAAATTTCAAATTCTAAATTTGGACTTCCAGATGCCCATATTTGAGTGGAAACGTACGTTATTCAAACTTTGATGGCTCTATGTACCTCGTTTTATCGCAGTGCGAGAAACATGCATATATTTATGCATCTTCTTCATTATTTAATTTGTTTAAATATAATATAAGACTGTAATGTTTGACAACAGTTTGAAAAGTGAACCGACATTTAAGGTGCCAAAACGAAATTAATAGGCCTTCTGGGATAACGCCCTTTGGGCTAAAAATATTGAGGCACAATTTCAAGCGGAAAAAGATTTCATTTGTAAAACTTTCATACTTAACATTGCCATTATACTCATGTTTTGAAAAGATGTATTAGTGTTGACCTTATTTTTTATCATAAGAATATATGTATTCATTTCCATTTATTATCTAAGAAACAATGAGTAAACTGTTGATTACAAAATAATATGATTAATTCCTTTCTTCTTTTTTCCTAGGGAATGGTGAAGTCACGAAATAGAGAGGATCCTTCTGCGATGGACAATCCACTACGTTCTATCGCAGGAGTAGAATGCACGTGGCCTCCTTTGGACCAGGAAATCGTTACTCCAACTATAGAACCTTCATTACCTTACTCTCCCGAAAGTCTTCAAGAAGAATCGATGACCCCTACTACAACAACTACTACTACACCAACGCCGATGCGACGTCGCAGCAACTCCAGTCACCAGCAAGGTGGTAAACGTCCTGCCACTGCCAACAGCAGGACCTCCAACACTGGAGGAATCAGTCACGTTGATGATAATTCTCACGGAAGTGATAACAATTCAACAGATTCTAGTTCAGCAAGTGACGAAGCCTGTTCAGCATCTGTAAAACATCCAAAGCAGCAGAAAAAATCCTCATCGTCCTCGTCTGTAACTTCATCGTCCAGTGGCAACCGGAGGAAGAGGAACACCCTCAGCGCTCGAGAACGGAATCTGAGAAGACTTGAGAGTAATGAAAGGGAAAGGATGCGTATGCATAGTCTCAACGATGCATTCCAGGCCCTAAGAGAAGTCATTCCTCACGTAAACATGGAAAGGAAGCTGTCCAAAATTGAGACTCTTACTCTAGCGAAGCATTATATCATGGCGTTGACTAATGTCATTTGCCAGATGCGTGGTGAGCAAGTACCGTACAAGTTGCCAATCAATTCACAAGCCCCTGAGGTCGGAAGCAGCAATCCTATGAGTCCTGATACCGGAGATGCAAGAGATGATTTCCTTTCCGCTGCTCACCAACAGCAGTGCTTCGAATTAGCAGCGAATAACATCGCGCAAAGAAATGGCAGCGAAGAGGACGTTGATCAACTCAGCATCAACTCCGAGGAAATACCAGTAACACTTTAGCATCAAAATATTATGCTCGAAAGTTGGAAGAAAAGCCCAGGGATGAATATCATGGACAGACTCTATTAAACTACGATCCCTTTATGCTCTTTATTTGCCGCTACAATTCAGCCAATTAAGTGCAGGGATCGCTACCATTGTTAATTGAAATCTTGTGTTGACGCTTCTTGATCTGGATGGTCCTCAGTGGGTATGAGGTACATTTGCAATGAAAGCGTTCGCTTCTGGGGGGGCGCAAAAATAATGCTCGTATTCGTATACTGTATAAATATTTGTGGATAACCTGTTTGCAGAAGTTTCGTGTATTCCAAGCTTTACGACTGCATTAGTTCTCATTCTGAGTTGGTGAATATGGAATCAAGTAAGAATTCTTTTTTCTAAAGCATACTGACGCAATATGCCCACAAACTTCATGACATTCAGTAGCTATCGTACCATGTCGTGCTTTGGGGCTAGCTTTCAGAGTGGCCTAAGATATGTTGTTCTCACAAACTTAACAAAATTTGTAGCTCCATTTGTGGAGATAGAGTTTTTTAGTAATATATGGCTATTTTCCCTCTCTGAGTCGTGTTTTGAGCAAAGTGTTTCGTTTTCCATAAAAATGAAGGTCATGTTTTTCAGTAAACTATAAGTTTTCAAACTAGGCAGCATTGAGTAAATCCTACTCAAAGACTAATTTGTCATATCAAATTAAATATTTTTAAAAATAATCCTAGTCTACAATATATTATTAGCAGATAATACTGCTTATATTGAAACAGGTGCCTAGATCTGCTCTTAAGACTTCATAAAATTTTAAACATACATTTTATTTTGAAGCTATATTAAAAACTGAGGTCATTGACTCTCCAGGTCCCTTAATCGTAGTGCATTCATTTGCCTTTTATAGTTTTCTTTATTCTTAAATTTTGATGTTTAAATATTTATTGAAATGTTTAAACATCAGTATTTAATTTGTTTAACATAAATTTCTTATCTAAACTTTGTAGCTTATAATTCTGATTTAATAAATTTAAAGCTAAATCATGTCGAAATGGTAATTAAGGAACTAAAACATAAAAAAAAAAAACTTATCTTTAACAGTCTCTAAAGCTGGTTTTATTGCAGTTTGAACATCGCACTGATTTCGTCAATGCATAACATCTATTATAATGTTATTTTCTATAGTAAAATATGTCATATTAAAATCTAATTTTTAGTTTTTAAACTAATAGATAGACGAATGTTCTTTGCAAGTAAAATGAAAATGTCTTTGTATAAATTATTAGGCTTTATAGCTTTTAAGTATGACAATTCTTACAAAGATAATTTGAATTTTGAAATTAATTAGAAAAATGATTTATTTTTATTCAATTGCCACTCAATGATTTCAAGGAAATGGTGTTTCATTTAACTAAACTATGATATGCGTATATATTAAATAATAAATATTATCCTTTTATGATCAAAATACATACCAGAATTCTCAATAATATTACTAAGGAAATACACTTCCCAATGTAAATATTGAATAATCACTTATAAGTGATTATTCAATAGTTACTTTGGGAATTATTAACATGTAAAATGAGAAAAATGAGCCAAGCATGTAGATTTCCTAAAATGTTATTTTTTCCTTCAAACATTTATGTGAGATTCTGATAATTCATATTCCAGCATTATTGAAGATCCTTTTGCGCCACATTATTCTGTAAATTTCTATTTATTCATTTATTAGTTGAATTAGCATGTTATTAAATGTAGTATAACCCAACCTATATATATATATATATATACTATATATAATTATTTATAGGTTATACTACATTTAATTTAAAGTTATGACTATCATATCAAGTTTTAGCTAACTGTTATGTCATGTAAATCATCAAACCTTTCGAGGAGCTGAACTGCTATTATTACATTATTGTTGCTCAAAAATTTCTATAGTATAAATAATTACAAGTAATTTATGTTTAAATATGTAAATATACCTCACATGATTTTTCTTGCTAATTTTTTATGTTAATTATTTCCTGAGGCTAATTAATTATTTAGCCAATGCTATTTTCACAAATAAAACCCAAACCGCTATTTTACAAGAATCTATTTTGCGTCTTCTAAATGCAAAATTTAACATTGAACATTTTAATATATTTAGCAAATGAAATGTATGAAATTGACTTAGTCATTATTATTATAGTCGTTATTAAAAGTTATGTCATTTAACGTACCCAGAGGGTAACGTTTAACGTAGAACGCTTAACATTTAACGTTTGCTTTCATTTTCAATTAATTTCGTACGAGGCGTGATTAATGTGTGATTATTAGCTAAAACATGTCTTTGATCTAGTTTTGTAAGTGTCAGTGGAGGACGGCATTTAACAGAATATTTTCTCTTTTCAATTCTCTTTAATTAAACTGAAAAAAATTACCACCATGTAAACATTTTAATTATTTCCGTTGCAGAAATTCTGAATAAATGCAGCATTTCAGGAATTATAGTTAAAGACAAAGCAAACATTTGGATGTTAAATGCAGCGCCTCGCATCTATCACTGTTTTACACACACGAAAAAAAGAAATCCACAGAATTCCCATAGGTTTCTAAAGACAGCCAGAGCACATATTTGTTCATAAGTTTCTTCGTGAGAAAGCTGCGTTTGAGCAATTTAATGCCTATGGACCAGTTTAACGAATGCTATTTTTATAGTGTTTATATTATTACATAGCTACCAATAAGTATTGCTGTTTATTTTACTGAAACATAATACCCATTATCTTTTATTCTTTGATATGAGTAGATTTGTAATTTTAATTGAAGTATAAGAATATTTAAAAATGCAATTTTTATTTTAAAGCATGACACATCTGTCTGTTGAGAATGCCCTTAACTTACTTTTTCTTGCAATGGTATTCATGATTTTAATGCGACTGGGATTAAAATCTGAAATGTGATTATTTTGGGATTCCTTTTTACCAAGATTAAGATATTCAGCAAATGAAACTAGTAGAGTAAATATGCTCTTTAAAAACCATCAACTCAAACTAAAAAATGTAAGCAAATTTCTAATAAACCCATCTTTAAAAACAAATTCTTGACCAATAATTCTGTTTAGCGGTAAACATTTCATAGTCGAGAAATTTATTTCATACTTACATACTTGAAATATGTGCTATTTGGAATCATTTCATGGGTAGCAAAAGGGAAACAAAAGTAATATTTTGTATTAATTATTTTATTTGATACCTGGATTTTATGTTTTTATATCTTTTACACGAAGTGTAATTCTTATTTAGTTTGTAATTTTTGGATTGAATTTCAAAATTTTTAGTCATATATTTATTCATAATTTATTTTCCGGTACTACAGAAAATGCTTGTCATAAAGGCATTTTTTGCGTGTATCTACAAATAACATTTTTAAAAATTTTTATTAAACATAACTTCAATTCAGAAAAATCAAATTTATTTTCAAGACATAGGTGTATTAAACTATGTATGTCAAATATCGATTTTGTATAAATAACTAAACGTATGTGAATAATGCCTAAATTCTTTAGATTATTTATCTGTAAATGTTATATGTGTGGTTCTTCCGATGTGTTTAGTCGTTATTTTAATACAGAAACAAACGATGATTACTAGAGAGTGGTCTAAACTTTTACCTGGTATACTGAAATCTTGTTCGTAATCATTATGCTGAAGGTCCCATGAATCTATAAGGAAAAGTATGCTTTTTTAAGATCCTATATTTATTGGCATAATATTTTATTTGAAGATAGATAGATATCATATTCTGCTGGCAAAGAAAATGTTATTGTATTAAACTTGAAACTTGGGTTCATGGGAATCGTACCATGCCAAATAAAATGCTGCTATATTAAATTATGTTTAAAATCTGTCCAAACAAATAACAGTTTCTATTTTCTAAATTATCAATAATATGCAATAATAAGTTTACGTAAAAATATTTTAAGATCACAAAAATATTTGGTAAGTAATTTTATGCGCATTGAAAAAAATTTGTCTCAGTAGCATAGACTGCTGAAAATACCTCTGAAATTAATCATAAATAATAAAATTATGTAAAAATAAAAGTAAAATAGCTGAACTTTTATTTACATTAAGTATTTGGTAAAATATGAGTTTTTCTTTTACTTTTATAACTGCCGTTAAAATTATTTTATTTTAATCACTTTAATGGTTTCAAATATTTTTATATTCATAAATGTTGTTAAGTTAAGCAACGTTCAGCCTTAGATTAAAGTGGTTTTAGAAACTATTTTCTATATGTTTCAATGTTACCCTCACGGGCGGTAGGTTTTTCTCAAGAATCATTCTTCCTCTATTACTCGAAGAAAGTTTTCTGACTTTTCCAAATGTATAGAGCATTTTATGGATGATAATACCGATATAAAGTTGACTTTTGCCTATTGAAAAATTTAAATTAGCGTTTTTTTCTTACACCTGTCAATAATAGAGGTTATTCATCTTATAAAAATATCTTTCATTTGCTTAAAAAACATGTCTTATGATATAATTTTATCGTTAAATCTACCAACATTCTGAATTATCGCAGAAGAAGTAATAATGCTTTCTGGATTAAAAAAATACTCAGATGTGAATAGAATCGTATTTCGAGTTTAATTTTTTTCCACATTTATTCAAAATTAGCTGCTTTTGTTAGTATTGCTTAAATAATGTTTAACAACCATGTAATTTAAATACCTTTTTAATTATTTTTATTATATCAAAATTTAAAAAAAGCTTGATTCAATTAAACCGCAAAAATTCATTATCCTATGTTATGTAATTTAAAAAAATGTACAATGTTTTCCAAAGATAACTTGAAACATAAAATGTTTAATGTTTTAGGATTTTTTTTCTGTCATTAATGAAACTCTTAATAAAACAAACAAATAAGTAACTTTCTTAATAATATTTAAATATAATTTTATGTCGACAATATCCCCTTTACTGCAAAATTATACAGATGGTAGTAATAAATTTCTTACTGCTTTGTTATTTCCTAAATTTTCGTTATTCGGCCTTACATTTTCTGTGCTTCTTTTTTTAACTTTAATTTTCATTCTTAATGAACCAAAATAAAACTCAGTTAGGTATTCCTACTACCTAAAATAAATTAAAAAGTTCGGTATTCTATACTTTTTGTGAGTTATAGTCATTCTGTGTTCTATCCAAAAGTTATTTAAATGGACGTGCATTTTACACAGTAAACCGATTTTTTCTTTGAATGTTCCTTTAGAAATTCTGCATTATGATTGTAACTGAATATAGAATTTTATACCGGAATTATAAATACGCATATCAAAAGTCTTTCATTACAAGTAATAATGGCATAAAAGCTTGCATTTTACTGTTAAAAATTGAACCTCAATTTGATGTTAATTTTAAATAGTTGTGTCAATCCAAAGTTGCGTTTGTGCCAATTGTGAAACGAAACAGCTGTCATTGAATTAGTGTTCATTATTATTCCAAATTTATTAAGTAAAATATTTTAAAATTATAAATGAGCTTCGTCTAGTCATTTGTACCATTATTTTTGCTATAACTGTTTATATTATTCAGATCAAGTCATTTGATGATGTAATGAAACACATTACAATTCAGATAAATTTGTTTGTGCACTGTAATATCTAAAGTCTTAGCAGGGTAAACTTGATTCAATTGGAATAGAAGAGAAATACGCCAATGTAACATTCAAAATCGCAATACCAACCTTGTATTTAGCGTACATATATTAAAAAACTCAATCTATTTCGAAATCGATTGAGTGTTTTAATATATGTACGCTAAATACAAGGTTGTTATTGTGATTTTGATTCAATTGTTTTTCTTATTACATAGATCAGTTACCTGTATTCAAGCAACAAATATTTAAGTGCATAAATTTAATCTGGATCAACTTCAGATTGGTGATATCGAAATTGTGCTAGAATAAACCTGCTTCATTATTCTTTGATTAGTTGACTACCTTTTGCTTTAAAGATGTTGCTGCTCTCCCTCGTTAATTTTCCTTCGGAAAGACAACTTTGTCCTTCTTTTTTTAAAATATGGACTATTAATTACAGATTTTCAATCAAAAGTGAACTTCTCATAGCAACAGTAAATGTTTACGAAGCTTATCTTGCTTACAGCATATGTTGGAAATGACATGCCCAGTTATTATATTTGTCTAAGTATTTCACCCTGCTCCTAGCAGGTTTAAGGAAATTCTTTTATCTGTTCTCTAGATGAAAGCAGTAATGTTAATTTTCAACTTTTTAGAATATGTAGAATTCAATTTGGCTTAATCATCCGCATAAAAGTATAAACAGATAAGTATGCGGATCTCGTTAGCTATAGCTCTTGATATAAATTCCATCATCAGAAATTATTCCCAGCATCGTTATGGTGAAATATGCTATATGACATGTCGCAGCAAATCCGGGAATTAACTCCATCTTTCTGCTTTAGCCTCCTCAACGGCTTACCAGACGATCTCGTATATCATCCACAATATCCAATATCCTTGTTAAAGTATAACTTTTTATCATTTATCACTTTCAATATAGACCTAAATCCACGAAATCTTTTTATGAACTCCTAAATCGAACTTGTATTTCTATCCAAAAGTTATTTAGTAGGTCCTTTCCAAATTTACTAGAAAATTGGGCATCACACTGAACATATGAATTAACCTGAAATAAAATTATCTTGGAAAAGTGTTTCGATTCGTTTGAAGTCGCAAGGTTACTTTACAGTATTAAAAAAAATGTAAAATAAGCAATAAAAACTGCGACCATGTTCAACATTTGCCGTCCTCAAATGATTCACCAGGTCAGTTTCTGCTTTCGAAGATAATTCAGTTCTTTCTCCTCTGCTTTCTCCACCCCCAAAGAAACTAATTTATTAGCCTCTACTCATAATTTCGAAGAATCGTAGTAAGTAGAACATGCATAAAATTATGTCTCTTGAATGTACATCCAGTTCAAATTCACATCTTGTATGTACAAGAATTTTGATTCATAAATATACATTCACAAGTTTTATTAAAAAGTATGTGTAATGCAAAATTTTATTGTCCGCATATAATGCAAATAAAATTTTTTCCTATCATGTTACTAAATGTTTTTATCCAAAATTTATAATTATTTGTTAAATTTTAAATTCAGTAATCTTTCTGAGGTTTTTTTAATGCAATTCTTTGAATTCAGTTTAACAGAAAACGATAAAGGCAACAATGAAAATTTTGTTAACACATATACTATCTATTAAGAGCTAGTAATAACGAATATAATATAGTTTAGGATATCTTGTGATGTTATAAAGCTAGCGAGAATTAGTTCAAAATGTGTTTAAAGTCAAAAAGTGTTTGTATAAGATTTAAGGGAAAGAAATTTCGTGTTCAAGATAATTTCACGGTTTTCAGATACAATTTTCTGAATTCTCTGAATATAGAGTTTAATGAGTTTTATTTACCAAGCAAAAGACAGAGCGGGATGTAATTATAGCATTTTTTTTTCTAATTTAATCCTCAAATGTTATTAACTGTGATGGATGGAATCATTATTTCCTTAGTAATTTATATAGTAAGTGATTAATAATCAAATGAGTAATATTATGTTACTTTCAATTTTGTGTTTACTAAGTTAAAATTTTCTTTACTATGATACCTCGAAGTAAAATTTAAAAAATAGTAATAAAGTAATCACTAGGTTTATTGCATGTTGATTACAGTTATTTAATTCTCCTTTCTTAAACATTATGTCGAAATATACGTCTACGAGTTACCTATTGAAATTTAAATGCATTTTATTATTGTATTTCGTATTACTAAACAACCATAAATGGTTTATTAATCTAGTTACTGATGCAAAACACAAAAATTTTTTTTTCGTCTTTATCATATGTTTTCATGATCAGATTATGTACTACATAGATACCTCTTGAAGCTATGAAACTATCTGGTGAAATTTCGAGAAACAAGCAATTTAATACCTACTACTTTCGAAAAAAATGTAAGCAATGCATTCTATTTTTGATGATGGGATCCCTATATCAGAGTGACTTCATAAAACTGATGAAGCGCATACTTACATATTCTGTTATTGACTGGCAGTCAACCTATTTTCTGTAGAATTGTTTATATAGATATACTGTTTTTATTCCCATATATACTTTTATTTTGTATATGTTATTACCAAGTCATGTTATGGAATTTTATGTTGCAATTTTAAATTATTAACAGTCAACTCTAAAATAATTCTGATATTTTCATAATTTTGTTGTTTCCCAGTTTCCCATTCCGTGTTATGAAATTTTTAAAATCAAGATATGAGCCTGATTGCTATAATTTTGCTTAGTTTAAATAAATAAATAATTATTTATCGATAGAAAAACAAAGTGCAGCACGACATATCTCTTATTTGTAATCTAATTCATTCTTTTAATTACAGTACTTAATTAGAAATCGTGTATTAAATCAAGAATGTTGTAACGGTAATCAAAGTTTAAAATTGACTCTTATTTAACCCTTTCGCATCGGTAGAGGCCAAAATTTGTTTCTCTCAATCATCTGAAACGCCCTTAAATACGAATTTTCTTTGGAATGGATTTCCTTCCCACATTCCAGGTAGAATGCTACAGCGTTAAGAATAACCCACTTAAGTGAAGCGATTGCTTCTCTCTTGGGGATCTCTGTGCGCTTTCAACCGCTGTGTGCAGCTTCCCTTTAGAATAGAATTGCAGCTGCGAGCATCAATAATTAGACATTGACGCTAAACAAAGGAAAGGAAAAGTGCATTCAAATAACAGAGTTATTTTCAGTCACATAGTTCTTTCAGTCAAACGAATGATTGGCATATCATTTAATAGCTCTTGAAACCAATGACCTATTTACTAACGCGATGAGGGAAAGCACCAGGTAGAGAATGGATGAAGGCGTTCGGGGGACATTGCTGTAAAGAAGAAATTTTTTAATAACATAAGACTTTTACAAAAACTAAAATCATGCTTAATTTTTTTTTTAAATGTTATGCGATTTAAGCACTTAAACATTTAAGAGTGGTAGGAAAACGTAGAATCAAACTTAGAATAATTTTAAATTAAATTTCGGCACCATTATTGAATTACTTATAATTTGACGGCTCCAGCGTAAAAACTTATAAAATAAATAAAATATATTTCTGCCGGAATTGTAATAACATTACCATTTTTTAATTAGATGCCGTAATTATCAGAGTCATAGTACCAAGCTTAAAATGATTACTTTTTAGTATTTACTGAACTTAGGTATGAATTAACGAAAACTACTAAAAACTAAAGCGTTGGTTTCCTTTCTAAAGTAATTAAATTTGTTTTTGAAATTCCCTGTACCTCAGTTAATTTTAAGGAAATTAGTGGGTCGTTTTATATTTATAAAAAATACGCTTTTCGCCAGAATTAGTGATTTCAACTTTTGTTTAAATTCTATAAACAAAAGAATGCGTGGTAGAAATGTTTCCCCTGTGCTTTCTTTTGAAAGTTGAAACGAAACATTTACAATAAAAACTTTGCCATTTCAGTAGCATGTCTTCGCCACATCCACGCCTATGTTATCTTTTTCAAAACGTGAAATTCTGAAGAATGGGAAGAAGTTTTATTCAAATGCACTTTTCCCGGTAGTATATTCACAATAAGCTTTGTTTTTATGATTTTTACCAAAAGGGGAGAAAAAATGTTTTAAACAGGTTTCATGTCTGAGTTGACGGTATAGCCTGCGGGTGTTGCTTTGGTTAATAAAAAATAGTTATTCACGAATGATCGAATGATAATAGGATTTGGAGTGCTTCTTCTTCATTTCTTCTCGATTCCCGGCGCCATCCCATCAATTCTCTTCGCTTCGCTTTCATGGATTGCCAGTCGGACAATCAAAAATGCGAAGTGGGTTGCTTCTTTTTTTACCCTGTAACGCCTGTGATCAACCAGAAAAACCACTTCCTCTTTTCTCTCGAATATCTCAACTTCTTTTATTCTACCTGAAATTATCTCAACGGGATGGAATTAGTTTAATATTGATCACCTATTTTTGAAGAAGGCGACTTTACTACTTTTTCGCAAGAACCGTTATATTCGAATTCTTTGTTCCTCTTCGTGCACAATTTCTATTTATTTATTTTTTCTTATATTTTTTTAAACTTTTTTAACCTTTTCCCAGAGTTAATTTAAATGTTTTACGGCTGCTATATTATTCCAGACGATACCAACTCAACCCGCGTTGGATATTTTTCATTATTCTTTAAGAGAATTATTCAAATTTAGTTCGTAGCTCAAAATTTCATGAGGAGTAGTAAGAAAATATTTTTTACGCGATCCAGTCATTTATATGCACTAAAGGGGGTCTGGGTATTAGAAAAAAGGCAGTCTCTAAAAATTCGATTGCAGTTTTATATTGAGCTTGACTTTCTCAATAATAACTACTTAAAAATTTGCATTTTTTAAACTTATTACTTTTCCATAATAATATGTTTAAATAAAAATAACAACTGAAATTCGATTACTTAAATTATTCATTTACTTCTAAATGCTATTTAGAATAGTTCGGTTCCTCCTTCCTTCAGTGGAAGTTATTTACAACATGACCAATGTATTACTATAATAAGTATAATTACTCTAAAAATGTACACATGGCTGTTCAAAAAGAAAAGAAAATTATTTTTTTTAAATAAATGGGATTATTTGTGTAATATAGTAATAAAATATGAAGTACTACTATAGGAAATTTAAACGGGATACTTAGATAGATTTATGATCTAAAAAGCATCAAGAGGAAGGAAGGAAATATTTTATTATCAATAGCATTTTCCTTTATATACTGTATCTCGAAATTTATATGAAGTTTTATTGATTTGTGAAACGTAAATTTTTCCTCTTAAACTTTCCTCGCAAACTTCTAACATTTTCAACCGTTTAAAAATATACTATTAATATTTTTAATATTGCTTTTCTGTAAATATTTTTGTTCTATAAAATTAAAAGTTGTGATGATATAAGTAATTACTTCATAATTTTGATGAGTAATTAAATTTTCATAGATCTTTTTTAGATCAAGATCTCTGTAATTTGTTATTGGCGTTGTTAAAGCACTGCCTTAAATAGCCCAATTTAGACGACGGTGAGTTCCAGAAGTGCAGCTGAGCATTTTGTATTTGCTCGAAGATATTTTCACTTAAATTGTATAAGATTTATCGAAGATATTTTCAGTTAAAGTGTATAAGATTTATCGAAGATATTTTCAATTAAAATGTATAAGATTTATACTCTAAGTCTTCAGGACAATAAAGGTTCCAGATAAAAATTAATATAATTATATATCGTATAGATATGACTTAGCAATATCATATTTAATGCAAAATATATGTAAAAAATTTAGTATCCTTTCATCACTCTATCTGTTACCGTTATTGTTCTACTTGTGGGATCCAAAAGTCAAATGACTAACTTCATTATAAAGTTTCTGATAGCTTAATCAACAGGTTTAAATCTAGGATAAACTATAACTAGCTCTACCTATTAACAGAAAGTTATTAATAAAAGCTTTATTTCTCACATATTTAGTATCATAGAATTTTCCTCTAATTTACATATACCACAATTAATTTAATAGAGAATATTTGTTGTGGTAATGGAATCGATTTTTAATTTCATCAACGTAAGGTTCTTCATATGGCTTTTGGTTTACATATAACGAGTCAACAAAGTTTCTTTTTCATTATTGATCGTATTATTTTCAATATTTGCTATTGAGCAAATTTAACTCTCCATGCTTTTGCTAAAGAGTATGTAATAATCCACTTCCTACTATGAAATGCTTAAGCAGATTTGAAGTTGAATTTGTAAAAATTTATAGCAATGTTTACTGTTCAATTCCTAATTTTATTGAATTGTTTACTATTGTATAATGATCTATTATGTCTGAAAGACAACTGTGAGTGCTAACTGTGTAACAAAATGCGATAAAATTCCTTTATCTAAAATGTATTCCTTTTAATGAGAATTTTCGTAAATGCATGAAACTGCGTCACATATCATAATATAATAGTCATTACATCTGTAACATATCAAAATTAATCATAGTTTCGAAACGAAATTTTAAGAAAGAGAATTGTATTTTATGTAAACATTCATGTAAATTAAGAAGATTGCAGTTAATGCTACCTGTAAGTAGCAGAACCAAATCCTCACTCATAGTTTCTAAATAAATAGTTCTTATCATGTTAAATTTAAAAACACTTCCCTTTTACTATTCACTAATAAGATGATTATGATGTGACTACACGTGCTACCATCAACTGTTTCTCTTTACAGAATCGAAATGTTTTGAAACCATAGTATGAAATTAATTAATGTAAATGCTTCATTATATCAAAGGTTATGTAATCTATTTCTAAAAGGTATATGTATCAAATTAAATTTTAATGTTTTATTTACTTCAGTCATCCTAGATTAATGACTTTACTTATTATCATAAATCATATAATTTTAAAATAAAACCTCAATTCATGTTTGCAAAGTTAAAAAAGAAGAAAATTATTAGTTTTATTCACCTAAGCTTCAATATTAAGGCCATTGAATTAAATCCTTTGTACCTAAAATGAATTATTTTTTAATGAATATGTCTGAATTTTAACCATTTGTACAAATGAGAGATGAGCGAGTAGACAGGGAATATTAAAATATATCCAGTGTTTTCATCTTTCATTAGAGCATTCTATTTTCAATGTCGCTTCGCATCCATAAACTCCCGAAACTATAACTCGGGCTCATTTACGCATTGTGTGCACCACATTTAAAGTACATCATGTGTACGATGTTTGCGACTCGTTTCATATCATTTCTGCCATATCTGTGAAGAAATATTTTTATTACGTGTGAGGTACAAGCGCATGCGCAATCGTCCCTTTTTCTCCATGTTATATGTGAATGTGCGTATTCTAATGTATTGCTTTTTTGGTGACTGTACAAACATTGACTACAGCTGTCTTGGTATATATGTGGTATAATATTTAAGATGATATATATATATATATAAAATATATGATGATATGTATATGTATAATATATATACATAAATGAGCATTAAGTAATATAAATATACAAAGAATCTATATATAATACAAAATAATCTATCTAATATAATATATTCAGTGAATGTTATCAATAAATTCTGTTTATGGATATTTTGACTGTTTGTTCTTTTTTTTTTTTTAATTTCTCTTACACGATACCTCTAAAATTATCTGATAATTTAGGACTTGAATTTATACGATTATGACTATCTTCCAAAGAAGAGGGATACTTTTGTGAACATTTTAAGAAACCACGGATTGCATTCCCAATTAAAATTGGTAAAAACCACAAAAACGCCTCTACAGCTATGCTTTTTGAGGGGAGGATACGAACTCCATTTGCTAGTGTTTAGGAGTCTTATCCAGTTAAGCTGCTGGAGGACCTGATTTGATAAATAAATCAGGTCCTCCAGCAGCTTAAGTGGATCCAACGGCAGTTTGAGTTGAATCACTAAAAGCGTTAATTCACTTTTCAAATTGTTGCCACCAAATATTATCGCCCTTCATTACATTCAAAGAAATTAAATAATAGAGAATATGCACGAATGTATGTATATTTCTCGCACTGTGAAAACACAACGGTACCTAGAACCATCCAATTTTGAATAACGTAGTCATCCACCCGAATATGGGCTAAGATTTTGAATTGTTAATTTGTTTTATTATCTATTTAATTTTTGTAAACCTTTAGAGAATTTTTGATTAAAAAATTCAACAATTTCAAAGCGAACAGTGGCAACACTGTACGGAATAAAACATTTTTATACCCAGCGTGCGAGACTATCTATCAGGAATGCTAAACATATGCGGTTTTAAATATTTTAGCCCAAAGGGGCGTTAGCGCAAATATTCTTGAAACGTGTACGTGTGCGTAAATAACAAAAATGCCCGTTTGGGTGTCATATAAAATCTGAAAACCTTCATATTTTTTTTAATTCTTTTCGAAGTATGCTATGCATTATTATTTACGAGTGTTTCATAATGATCCAATTTATGATGTCCGCAAGGGCTCCGATAATTCCTAACAGTAGATATGAAAATTGAGAAACAAAACGGGAGGCATTTAATAAATTTTAAAATTTGTATTTAAGCCATAACTTTGCTGGTTAATCGAATTGCTGAAAAAAACCACACATACTTAATATTGCTAGCCATTTCACTGAAAAAGTTATGCTATAAAATGTGATCTGTAAACTCATATCACTTTAATATTTCTCAATTTTGCAAGTTTCTGTTTAACACTCGAATTAAAGATGTGAAGGAAAATTTTTAGCAATCCCAAAATAATATTTTCATTGATAATGATAAAATAATCAAACAATGCTAAGAAACATAAAATTGGCGTAAAGAATGTCTCCTGAGAAACCGTCTGTATCAAAGCAGTAGTTTAATTACATAACCTGAATGTATGCACAATCTTTGAAAATATACGGAGTGGCTCAAAAAATTTATCCATTGTTTAATTGTGAATAATTCTCATATGGATGGACGAAAATGCCTCGTTTTTGGTAGTATAATGTTTTCATTTTCTGCTATTACATTGCACTGAACGCTAATGCTTTATGTGTTCAATGTGTTAGTCGTTAGCAGCAAAACACTGCCGAACTCATATAAGATTTACCGACTGCAACGTGTGAAGTCCGATATCTGCACAGGAACGGGGGATATTCGACAAACCGTCTTCGATTTATCCCTCCTTCGGGTAGCTTTTCCATGAGAAACTTCCTGATAAAATGATGGTAGTATATAAAGTCTGTCTCATTGCAGAATTCTATCTGACAGACTTTAATTTTGAGCAAGAAAAATGTTTTAACAAAGAAAAGAGTGTTAGAGGAAGTTTTTGCAGATTGAATTTTGTTCTCAACTGTAACACAACAATCGGGTTTATCATGAATTGGGGAAATTATTAAACATGTTCGTGGTTGTGTTTGAAATTCATTCCACCATTGCCCCTTACTGATGGCTTTATGCATCACGCATTACCTCAGGACTGCCTTCCTTTCTTCAAATGTCAGCCCCATTATCTAGCTGGTTCCAATGCAATATTGGAACATTAATGTATAATACTGTCAAAAATAAGACCTTTTCGTATATCCATTTGAGAGTTATTCACAACTAAGCCGTGTATAATTTTTTAATCAATCTCTATATAAATATAGATGTGTTTAAGTTACCCTAATAAAATTTGCTCTTTGAATTAAAAGCTACATTACTTACATTGTCTAAGGTATCATTTCTACCAAATTTCTGACGGAGTGCACACGTACAAGTTATGCAAGTGATTGCATTTGCAAGACAGTCAATTGATTACCAAGCGGAAAACAAACATTACCTAAACAGCGCACGAAACCATAAGTTTCGACGGCGTCACAGATGTAATATGCGAGATTTCCTGTTATTTCTGAGTTTGGTGAAAGAGGAAGAGAAGCAATGCTTTTAAGATATTGTCGTGCTCAATATCAACAGGTGGACGAGTTGAGGAAAAACATCATATTAGCTTTTCTTCGCAATATTGCGAACGAAATACAATTGGATCCCCAGCTAGTCTTATTATTTGGCGACAACAACCTAGA